GGTCCGGGCTGGGGATTCGAACCCGCCACCTTAGGTGTACGTGGCTGGCGCCTTAGCCGGTTGAGCTATAGGCGCCGAGCCTTGCCTCAGCCTTCTGAGCAGCAGAGATTATAGGTGCCCACTACAACACCTGGCTAATTTTTCTATTTTTAGTAGATACAGGGTCTTGCTATTTGTTCAGGCTGGTATCCAACTCCTAAGCTCAGGCAACCCACCCGCCTCAGCCTCACAGAGTGCTAGGATTACAGGCATGAGCCAGCATGCCCTGCCAATCTCTGAAGCTTCTCCATCCCCTTCCCTCCTCCCTATTTTGTGTAAGTACCACGTGCTAACCGATTGCGCCACTGGAACTCCCTCACTATTCTGAATTTTGTTTTTCATTCTGTTGATTTCTGCAGGCCTCGTATGTGTAGTTCAATGAATGCTCAAAGCATCCTTACAAGTAGATCAGACACAGATATTGTACAACTATTATAGGATCTCAGATGGGGACATTTGGGACCCCCAGTTACCCAGCATCAATTGCAAGACATTGCGATGTTAAGAAAATAGCTCTAGTTTTATTTTTCAGAACTTTCAGTGAAAATTATGTAAAAAAAAAAAAATCCAAAAAAAAAAATCCACTTCCTCCATAGTGTTGCTATTATAGATATACATTGCTTTCTTGTTGCGTGGCATCAAATTCTTTTACTTTGTTTTTTCAGGAAACTCTTGAGGAAAAGTTCTCAGATGCTTCTCCAGTGGCTTTGAGTTTCATGAAGGTACTTAAGAAACAATTACAACTATTATTGACTACAAAGTGTAATGACCTAAGCTGGTAATCTTGGGAGGGGTGGTCAGTGGAACAAATAATGCCAAAGGAGGATGTAGTCGTTGAAATCATAAGGAATTATAAAATAATTACAGTTCATAGCACCAATTAAAGGGACGTCTGTGGTTTAAGCAGTAATCGTTCTAACATATCCATTAACATCAGTGGTAGATGAGACAAAGTCAGAGCAATGGAGACACCAGGCCAAGCCCCTGCATCAAACCAAGATAGATGGTCAAACAACAAATTCCAATAAAAAGCAAAAGAAACTTGCCTTTGACCAGTCTGTTGTTCATGCTTGACCAACTGAAGCCACACTAGAAGGTGTGACCCTGCCTTTCACTGTGTGGACCCTGACAGCCCTTGAGAGGAGTAAGTAGGAAGAGTCTAGAGAGAGTATCTCTCTCTAAAAATCAATTGAGTTCTGTCTATAGCAGTGGTTCTAAATGTGACTACTCAGCAGAATGACTTGAGAGATTTTTTAAAAAATAGATTCCAGGCCTAGCATGGTGGCTCATGCCTGTAAACTGTGCAGCAGGTGGAGTGCCTGAGCTCAGGAGTTAGAGACCAGCCTGAGCAAGCATGAGACCTCATTTCTACTAAAAAAATAGAAAAATTAGCCAGGCATTATGGCAGGTGCCTGTAGTCTCAGCTAGTCAACAGGCTCAGGCAAGAGGATCACTTGAGTCTGAGGTTGCTGTGAGCTGTGACTACACGGCACTCTAGCCAGGATGCCAGAGTAAGACTCTGTCTCAAAAAAAAAAAATACAGATTCCAGTATCTAGCCTCAGATTCACAGAATCAGAATCTCTATGAGTGGGACCTTAGCATTTGTATCTTTAAACATACCTTTAGCTGGTTATGATAACCATCTCAGTTTGAGACTCATCTGATCTAGATGGTGGGGCCATTTGTGTGGCCAAGAATCAACTTCATGGATCTGTCTTTGTGCTAGTGCTGGTCCCTGCTGTGGTGCTATCCAGGGTGCTGGATTGCCTCCCTGAGAGCTCAGAGACTTCAGTCTGAGTCCCTAAGACTCAGAGTCTGACACCTCTGTGCTCTTAGACTCCCCAAACCACTGCTCCACCTATCCTCAGCTGCTCTCTAACCTGGCTCACTGCCCGATGTGCCTTCACCCAGTCCTCTGCTGATCCTGTCCAAGAAACCCAGCCCTCTGACCTTGTTCTTGGTAGATTGTTCTTAACCTATCTACACTTTAGCAAAGCCTCCAAGGCAGCGGGGAGGTGTCAAGTACTGCAAACCCAACCTATTCTAAGGTGGAGGCCAGACGAGAGCACCTGTGGTTACTCCTCCCACTAACCTGAAAACTCCTTAGAAGGCAGCTCCAGGGCATAAAAACTCCCAGGTGTGGGATGAGTTCCCCAGCTGCCTAAGATTCAAGATGAAGTTAGGTGTGTTATTCAACTATTTCATTTAGATCCATTAAGTTCAACCTAAGGCCCAAAAATCCATACAGGCTAATTCTAAGGCCCATAGAATTCATGCTATTCCATGGATTGCGTTCTTCTATGGGTCACACTCTGTCTCCCAGACTCCTGCCCCATGTTAGATGAAAGAAGACTTTCCTTAATTATTTGCAATTGAGACATCTTTAGCAAAAACTAAGTACTGGCTACCATAACAGGTAGCTGCCTCAGGAGACTGGGTTATATCATATGCAGAGAGCTGCTCAGGCTGATGAAGTCGTGATGGTGACAGTGTCAGGGATAGTGACGGCATGAGGTGGCCAATCTATAGCAGGGCTTTAAATGGGAGCCTGAGCACACTCTTTATTATTTATAATTCATTTGTTGCATAGTTATGACCATCCTATCACTTCATCAGTTTAATCTGGTTATCAAGAACAACACCATAGACTATTAGAAATTTTATTAGAGAGCTTTCTGTGAAATTTGAAGTCTGAATTTAAGAAAAGGATCCTGAGTTGGACTCTGCAGTACCAATTTCTCATCTCCCTTCTTCAAGATTTTTTCTGGGTTAAGAGCACATCTGTCAAGGAGAATTCATCAGCTTCTAGATGTACAGAAGGTTATTAATCCATGCAGGCAAGGACACAAAAGCCTCAGCTCTACCCAGTTCATCTCAATGCTCATAAAATTAACTGAGCAGGACATTGTGTAGCTCAAGCCCTAAGGAGCAGCTCAGCATTGACACCCTCATCTTAGAATCTAAGAATGTTCTTTAAAATAAAACTCATAGGCATTTAGTGATGGACTAGATTTCAGTAGATTGAAGTCCATAAAAACGTGAACGAATTAAAGGTATATTTGAAAGTAAAACTACTAGGACTTTATAATGATTTATATCTAGGGAATAAAGTAGAAGAGGTGGCAAGGACGAGGTGATTGTATCAATTGCCCAGGTGTTGACAGGTCCTTACTTTCTCTGTAGACTCTATGAGGAT